TCAGAATGAATTCCCTCATTTTTGTGCAGGGCAAGTTTCTAAATTGGGGATAAAGGAGGAGGCGAGCCAATCTCCACGCTTCTATCAAGTGAAGAATAGAGTCTATGCTTCTCCTTAGGAATGCACCCTTTAGACTAGTTCCTGATTCAGTCAATTCACACAAGCTAAGAGCACAACAGACATGCAACCGTGCGAGTCTAGTGCTTCTATCAAGGAAAAGAAGTTAAGTTTAGGTCCCTAAGGTAACTCACTTAGAGAACAAATCAAAAAGAGAGGAAGGAAAGGAACCTTCATAGAGTTTGTAGTCAAGTCAAGGTATTTCCCTATCATTCTATCTTATCGTAACTCACTATTAATGAAATCAAGATCACAACTCAATAAGTTAAGTGGCTATGAATGAATACTTATCCCTTACTGAAATAGAACTCGTGTTTTCGACATAAAAAGATAATGTCTGAATCACCGGACGAACAGGACCAAAAATCCATTCTTCATATACATCAGCTTCGAGAATAGAAGTAGTTCGTAGTTGTGATCTAACAATTTAGAATTGATTTTCATAATTTTGGGACCGATCTCGGAGTTTATTTGATTGATTTGAGTCATATTTGGACTGTTTCAATTATAGTTTAATCTTATATAATTATAAAATTTAGGGTATAAATTCAGAATACGAAGATTTTTTGGGGTGCACAATGCCATTTATCCTATTTCCAAAAAAGGATAAACAGAAATAATAAGTTCAAAAAAGAGAAACCTCCGATTAATTATCGCCGGAAGATAAAGTAACGGTGGACGAGGACTCTCCCGGCGGGTCACACGGGCCTCGATATTACCTATAAATATCCATCTCCACCGCCACCACCACCACCATTCCCTTATTTGCATTCCTTTCATCGCTCTCTCTCTCTCTCTCTCTCTATGTTCCAACACCTCTTTCACTCAGTCTTTCTTTTTCTAAATACCTATACATACACATCTATATACGCAAATCTAGTTTGTTTTTCAAGATTTGGTGTTTTAAGAGGTAAACTCTCTTGNAATCTCCACGCTTCTATCAAGTGAAGAATAGAGTCTATGCTTCTCCTTAGGAATGCACCCTTTAGACTAGTTCCTGATTCAGTCAATTCACACAAGCTAAGAGCACAACAGACATGCAACCGTGCGAGTCTAGTGCTTCTATCAAGGAAAAGAAGTTAAGTTTAGGTCCCTAAGGTAACTCACTTAGAGAACAAATCAAAAAGAGAGGAAGGAAAGGAACCTTCATAGAGTTTGTAGTCAAGTCAAGGTATTTCCCTATCATTCTATCTTATCGTAACTCACTATTAATGAAATCAAGATCACAACTCAATAAGTTAAGTGGCTATGAATGAATACTTATCCCTTACTGAAATAGAACTCGTGTTTTCGACATAAAAAGATAATGTCTGAATCACCGGACGAACAGGACCAAAAATCCATTCTTCATATACATCAGCTTCGAGAATAGAAGTAGTTCGTAGTTGTGATCTAACAATTTAGAATTGATTTTCATAATTTTGGGACCGATCTCGGAGTTTATTTGATTGATTTGAGTCATATTTGGACTGTTTCAATTATAGTTTAATCTTATATAATTATAAAATTTAGGGTATAAATTCAGAATACGAAGATTTTTTGGGGTGCACAATGCCATTTATCCTATTTCCAAAAAAGGATAAACAGAAATAATAAGTTCAAAAAAGAGAAACCTCCGATTAATTATCGCCGGAAGATAAAGTAACGGTGGACGAGGACTCTCCCGGCGGGTCACACGGGCCTCGATATTACCTATAAATATCCATCTCCACCGCCACCACCACCACCATTCCCTTATTTGCATTCCTTTCATCGCTCTCTCTCTCTCTCTCTCTCTATGTTCCAACACCTCTTTCACTCAGTCTTTCTTTTTCTAAATACCTATACATACACATCTATATACGCAAATCTAGTTTGTTTTTCAAGATTTGGTGTTTTAAGAGGTAAACTCTCTTGCTCTCTCTCTCTCTCATGTCTCATGCTTGTTAATTTAATTTAGTATAACTTCTGTTTAGAAAAATATTATTAGCAATTAGTAGCGAAAGAAACAGGTCGAAAACACTGTCCAGTGTGGTTGACTATTTGTTTGTTCAATCCCCTATGCTTTCTTTCTTTTTTTTTTTTGTGTAATCTTGATTCTTGATAATGAAAGTATGGTCGATAAAGATTGCATGTGTATCAAGGTTGACAGTAATAATTATTCGTTGTGTGTGTGGATTAGTTGTTTGCATTGAGGTGTTTTAAGAGGCAAATTTCACCATTTGATCTCCTATTCGTTAATTTAATTTAATTTAATTTGTTTATTTATAAAAATATTTGTTTAGACAATTAGTAGCACAAGAAACAGATCGAAAGTACCATGCAGTGTGGTTGGCTATTTGTTTGTTCAATCCATTGTGCTTTCTATCTACTGACTAGTCTTGATACTGAAGCTATGTTTGATTCATGGCGGATTGCTTATGTACTAATGGTTGAGAGTAATAGTTATTGGCTACATGTGTGTGGATTAGTTGTTTGAATTAAGGGTGTTAGATTGGTAAAAAGGGGTTCATGGGTGCTGAGTTTTTTGTCATTGAAATCCTAATATAATGATGGATTTGGGTCTAGCCTAGCTTNCCAAAACAACAGGGTTTATATGTCCTACGCACTGGGCTGTATAACGGGTCAAGCCTTCGCTCCATGGACTAAGCCTCAGAAAATTTTCCATTAAAAACCACACAACATTACTTCGGGTCGGGTCATCATCCGGATCACATATACAAACTAGATTCCATAAAAAAAAAACCAACAAATAGGTGGCTATGTACCCTGTATAGATCATGTATGTTAGTTACTTTTTTTCATTTTTTTTAGTTTTANTTGTCGGTGCCATCATATGCTAATCTGGTAGTGGTTGGGAGATTTATGCAAGAATAGGTGGCTATGTACCCTGTATAGATCATGTATGTTAGTTACTTTTTTTCATTTTTTTTAGTTTTGTATCTGAGCATTATACTGAGTTGTGAACTCCATTGATTAGTGCTATATTAGCTAGGTTGACTTCATGTTTGTGCAAGACATTGAAGCTCAACCAAATAACAGTTTTCTTTTTGTTTTTTTTAAAACTGGCTTGAGGAATGAAACATGAGTTTGGAACTTGGAAGATCAGAAGGCTCNATGTTTGTGCAAGACATTGAAGCTCAACCAAATAACAGTTTTCTTTTTGTTTTTTTTTTAAAACTGGCTTGAGGAATGAAACATGAGTTTGGAACTTGGAAGATCAGAAGGCTTTTATTACCAATTATGGATTTATATCTCAAATAGGTGATGCGAAGTTGGTTTGCTATGCATCTATGGAAGTATGTTTTCACTTGTATCTTATTAATTTTTTCTGTTTTCACTTGTACCTTATTAATTTTTTCAATCCTTTATATCTATAATAATTCTAATGTGTTCCAAATAATGAGTGGTCAACTTAGTTTTGTGTCCATCTTAATCTTGTAGTGTTTCTGCCCTCCTTTTCTTTGATTATTGGTCCATTCATGCTGCTGACTGTGGGTTGGTTGGGTGTTAGACATTTTTCAACGGATTGATCTTGTTTTATTGTTTTACTCCCATTTTACTGTCATATATTGTCCCTTTTTGAATGGAATAGTGAGTTGGATATTATTTTTGGTACACTTGTATCTTAGAAGTGTTCATTTCATCTAGAGTATCGAGTTTTTTGGAGTGTTCGAGAATATGGAGTTTGGTTGGGCTTCTTTATTGAAAGTTTTCAGCTGTTTGCAATTGAGCTTGTTCCTTTAGTTTTATTTTTAAGAGACAAGGTTATCTCAACTTTGTGTTCATGCAGTGATTGTTCTCCCCCTCCTCTAATAGATTGCTTTGCCGAATGTGGATTGCAGAATTTGGTTTACTTCTTTGCAACACTTCAAAGGTTGGAAGATTTTATGATTTGCCTTGCCACTTAATGAAACCCCTGCTGAGGATGAGGAGAAGACTGATGGTATCTTATGCTTCGAGCCTCAAATGGCAGTTCCTTGTTCAATTACCTACCATTCTGATTTGTTTGTAGCATCCATGGGTCCCGAAAGAATAGTCACTAACCATNTTTTTTTTTAAAACTGGCTTGAGGAATGAAACATGAGTTTGGAACTTGGAAGATCAGAAGGCTTTTATTACCAATTATGGATTTATATCTCAAATAGGTGATGCGAAGTTGGTTTGCTATGCATCTATGGAAGTATGTTTTCACTTGTATCTTATTAATTTTTTCTGTTTTCACTTGTACCTTATTAATTTTTTCAATCCTTTATATCTATAATAATTCTAATGTGTTCCAAATAATGAGTGGTCAACTTAGTTTTGTGTCCATCTTAATCTTGTAGTGTTTCTGCCCTCCTTTTCTTTGATTATTGGTCCATTCATGCTGCTGACTGTGGGTTGGTTGGGTGTTAGACATTTTTCAACGGATTGATCTTGTTTTATTGTTTTACTCCCATTTTACTGTCATATTTTGTCCCTTTTTGAATGGAATAGTGAGTTGGATATTATTGTTGGTACACTTGTATCTTAGAAGTGTTCATGTCATCTAGAGTATCGAGTTTTTTGGAGTGTTCGAGAATATGGAGTTTGGTTGGGCTTCTTTATTGAAATTTTTCAGCTGTTTGCAATTGAGCTTGTTCCTTTAGTTTTATTTTTAAGAGACAAGGTTATCTCAACTTTGTGTTCATGCAGTGATTGTTCTCCCCCTCCTCTAATAGATTGCTTTGCCGAATGTGGATTGCAGAATTTGGTTTACTTCTTTGCAACACTTCAAAGGTTGGAAGATTTTATGATTTGCCTTGCCACTTAATGAAACCCCTGCTGAGGATGAGGAGAAGACTGATGGTATCTTATGCTTCGAGCCTCAAATGGCAGTTCCTTGTTCAATTACCTACCATTCTGATTTGTTTGTAGCATCCATGGGTCCCGAAAGAATAGTCACTAACCATACTGTCTCCCATGCATGTTCTGTTTCAGGCTTTCAGCCCTTTGTTTGGCCAAAAAGTTTTCAAAGGTCCGAAGCTTTTGGTGAAGAAAAGAGAGCAATGGATATGAGCACCAAGTTTTCCTCGTCATCCAAGCCAAGTAACAGTGAGGATAAAAAAGTAACCCTGCCAGTAGATTTGGGTCCTGCAGATTATCAAGCTGTTGAAAAAGAAGAAGGGGAATGGTCTGATGTCGAGGGCTATGCTGATGCCTACAGAGGCTGTAGTATGCATGGACGATCAATTACTGGAGCCGATAAAGATCCACAGGGGAAAAGTTTGGTTGGCATGATGGATCATAGTGATGCTGCTATGGCTGCGGAAGATGTTCCTCAGAATACTGAAAGTGTTAAGGATGAAAATATTGATCATGCTTCTATTGGATTGGATTCAGATACAAACGATAAGAAAAGCAATAATGGCCTAAATTCAGAAGGCAGTTGCAAAGGTGGTCAGGAAGATTCTGCATTGGTTTCAAAACAGAAAAAGATTAAAGGAGTTGAAGCAAATCATGCACTAAAGTACTCGAATAATCATGGAAAGCGGCCCACGTTTGACCCGCACAAGGAAGCAATGCTAGGAAAGAAGCGTAGTAGGCAGACCATGTTTTTTAACTTTGGAAGATGTCAAGCAAGCTGGTCCTATTAAAAGCTCAACTCCTAGAAAGCAGAACTTTCCAGCACCTATTGCGACTCATACCGTGAAGGAACTGCGTCCTATTCTTCCATCTTGTGAAAGAATCAGAGAAAAGCAGATTCAGCTGACAATCAAGGATGCAAAACAAGTTGATTTATCAAGTAATGATCGGAACGGTTATCTAGAAACTGATGACTCTAAATCTCAATATAATGGTGACATAAATTCAGAACTTCCAGCTCAGCCAAGGAGGCTGAATAGTTCGACAGGTCTTGCTGCAGCGGCTCAACCACCACTTCTTCCTAGACAGAGTTCATGGAAGCAGCCCACAGATTCAAGGCAGCTTAAGAATTCACAGGTCTCTAGTAGGAAGCCTGCTCTAATGAGTCAGAACTCCGTGGATCTAAAATGGGGAGTCAAAAGATTTCCTTCCAAGAAGCAGCCTGTAGTCAGCACCCAGTTTCAAGATACATCAGTGGAATGTCTTCTGCGTGAGGTTACAAATGAAAAATTTTGGCTTCATCCAGGTATCAAATTATGGCTTTCTTATTCAAGCATTTTACTTCTTCTACTGTGTTAACATTGTTCCTTGTGATGTAATTTTATTTTTCCTTGATGATTGGGGTCAGGCAAACATAAATCTTTTATTGTTAGATTGGACTCTGGTAATCTGGTTGGATGAATGGGTTAATTTCACTTTTTCCGGGATTCGTTGTGTATTTTATTATTCCTTTGAGCTTGTGGGCTTCACGAGCTTTCTGCGATTGGTCGTCTTTCCCATCTCGACCCCAGTGGGTTCTGTTAAAGTCTGAAAGTTAAAGATTATTTCATACACAGATTGGTACACTTGGCCATAATGTCATCAACACACCAAACATATAATATAATCACAAAAATATTTACACTTTCATTGAATCACTTCTACTTCAACCCAACAGATCTAACCCCACTAAGTGGGTATTACGGTTATCAACACCACCATACTTTCCCCCACTCTCAGGCCTCAACCCAAGCCCTATATCTATAACTCCACTAAGTGGGTATTACGATTATTGTCATCTAGGGTCATCCCAAGGTCACATGTACATATTTAATTTGTTATTTTTGTTGCAATTTAAAAATTTTTGAGACTAGGGTTTGTATTTAAATTTAGTATTTGCGAAATATATGTGAAATTTTGGATTTTGAGATTTTTTTCTTGGGTTAATGGTCAAGAATTTGAGATTTGCAGATTTAGATTTTGAAAATTTGGAATTTATGCAAGAGCTCGTTTTTGGCTTGAGCTCGGCTCAAGCTTGTACCAAGCCAAGCTTGAGCAATAATTTAGGCTTGATGTTCAAGCCCTAGCCGAGCTTGGACACCCCTCCAAAGATTCGAGCCGAGCTAGAGCAAACCAAAGCTTGGTAGGCTCGGCTTGATTAACACCCGTAAGTGACCAAAGAAAGTGGGGTATTGTAGTTTTTGGGGCAAAACAGTAAAATAACATTGTAATACTTTTTGACTGGATTATAATACCATCTCCCAAGTGGTATTGAAATAGGCTTAATAGTACGAGTAGAGGGTATTAAAAATATACAGTTGGTATATGTATTTGATTTAGTGCCATACACAACATCGAGTGACTTTTAACATCTAAATGTTGTATAAGACTGGATTAAAGTATTTTACTTCTGTACGACTATCTAATACTTTCTATAATACGGCAACCAAATGAGTCCTTAAAGTTTTGTTTCAGGGTTTAAATCAATGCTGTTTATCAGATTGTTGACTTGCTACATCTTTCATTCTTTTATGNAGGATGAGGAGAAGACTGATGGTATCTTATGCTTCGAGCCTCAAATGGCAGTTCCTTGTTCAATTACCTACCATTCTGATTTGTTTGTAGCATCCATGGGTCCCGAAAGAATAGTCACTAACCATACTGTCTCCCATGCATGTTCTGTTTCAGGCTTTCAGCCCTTTGTTTGGCCAAAAAGTTTTCAAAGGTCCGAAGCTTTTGGTGAAGAAAAGAGAGCAATGGATATGAGCACCAAGTTTTCCTCGTCATCCAAGCCAAGTAACAGTGAGGATAAAAAAGTAACCCTGCCAGTAGATTTGGGTCCTGCAGATGATCAAGCTGTTGAAAAAGAAGAAGGGGAATGGTCTGATGTCGAGGGCTATGCTGATGCCTACAGAGGCTGTAGTATGCATGGACGATCAATTACTGGAGCCGATAAAGATCCACAGGGGAAAAGTTTGGTTGGCATGATGGATCATAGTGATGCTGCTATGGCTGCGAAAGATGTTCCTCAGAATACTGAAAGTGTTAAGGATGAAAATATTGATCATGCTTCTATTGGATTGGATTCAGATACAAACGATAAGAAAAGCAATAATGGCCTAAATTCAGAAGGCAGTTGCAAAGGTGGTCAGGAAGATTCTGCATTGGTTTCAAAACAGAAAAAGATTAAAGGAGTTGAAGCAAATCATGCACTAAAGTACTCGAATAATCATGGAAAGCGGCCCACGTTTGACCCACACAAGGAAGCAATGCTAGGAAAGAAGCGTAGTAGGCAGACCATGTTTTTTAACTTGGAAGATGTCAAGCAAGCTGGTCCTATTAAAAGCTCAACTCCTAGAAAGCAGAACTTTCCAGCACCTATTGCGACTCATACCGTGAAGGAACTGCGTCCTATTCTTCCATCTTGTGAAAGAATCAGAGAAAAGCAGATTCAGCTGACAATCAAGGATGCAAAACAAGTTGATTTATCAAGTAATGATCGGAACGGTTATCTAGAAACTGATGACTCTAAATCTCAATATAATGGTGACATAAATTCAGAACTTCCAGCTCAGCCAAGGAGGCTGAATAGTTCGACAGGTCTTGCTGCAGCGGCTCAACCACCACTTCTTCCTAGACAGAGTTCATGGAAGCAGCCCACAGATTCAAGGCAGCTTAAGAATTCACAGGTCTCTAGTAGGAAGCCTGCTCTAATGAGTCAGAACTCCGTGGATCTAAAATGGGGAGTCAAAAGATTTCCTTCCAAGAAGCAGCCTGTAGTCAGCACTCAGTTTCAAGATACATCAGTGGAACGTCTTCTGCGTGAGGTTACAAATGAAAAATTTTGGCTTCATCCAGGTATCAAATTATGGCTTTCTTATTCAAGCATTTTACTTCTTCTACTGTGTTAACATTGTTCCTTGTGATGTAATTTTATTTTTCCTTGATGATTGGGGTCAGGCAAACATAAATCTTTTATTGTTAGATTGGACTCTGGTAATCTGGTTGGATGAATGGGTTAATTTCACTTTTTCCGGGATTCGTTGTGTATTTTATTATTCCTTTGAGCTTGTGGGCTTCACGAGCTTTCTGCGATTGGTCGTCTTTCCCATCTCGACCCCAGTGGGTTCTGTTAAAGTCTGAAAGTTAAAGATTATTTCATACACAGATTGGTACACTTGGCCATAATGTCATCAACACACCAAACATATAATATAATCACAAAAATATTTACACTTTCATTGAATCACTTCTACTTCAACCCAACAGATCTAACCCCACTAAGTGGGTATTACGGTTATCAACACCACCATACTTTCCCCCACTCTCAGGCCTCAACCCAAGCCCTATATCTATAACTCCACTAAGTGGGTATTACGATTATTGTCATCTAGGGTCATCCCAAGGTCACATGTACATATTTAATTTGTTATTTTTGTTGCAATTTAAAAATTTTTGAGACTAGGGTTTGTATTTAAATTTAGTATTTGCGAAATATATGTGAAATTTTGGATTTTGAGATTTTTTTCTTGGGTTAATGGTCAAGAATTTGAGATTTGCAGATTTAGATTTTGAAAATTTGGAATTTATGCAAGAGCTCGTTTTTGGCTTGAGCTCGGCTCAAGCTTGTACCAAGCCAAGCTTGAGCAATAATTTAGGCTTGATGTTCAAGCCCTAGCCGAGCTTGGACACCCCTCCAAAGATTCGAGCCGAGCTAGAGCAAACCAAAGCTTGGTAGGCTCGGCTTGATTAACACCCGTAAGTGACCAAAGAAAGTGGGGTATTGTAGTTTTTGGGGCAAAACAGTAAAATAACATTGTAATACTTTTTGACTGGATTATAATACCATCTCCCAAGTGGTATTGAAATAGGCTTAATAGTACGAGTAGAGGGTATTAAAAATATGCAGTTGGTATATGTATTTGATTTAGTGCCATACACAACATCGAGTGACTTTTAACATCCAAATGTTGTATAAGACTGGATTAAAGTATTTTACTTCTGTACGACTATCTAATACTTTCTATAATACGGCAACCAAATGAGTCCTTAAAGTTTTGTTTCAGGGTTTAAATCAATGCTGTTTATCAGATTGTTGACTTGCTACATCTTTCATTCTTTTATGGTTTTTGTCTGGAAGAAAAGTAAACTCTTTAATGCTGAGGCTTTGTCATTGAGGAGCATTTGTTAGTTTTAGAATTTAAGTCAAGTAATCTTTCTTTGCATCGTCTATTATGATTCTCAAAGTGGTATTGTAGTAGGGGAAATGGGGTGTTGTTTTAATGTCGTGTACTTTCCTTTTTGACACTTGCCTTTATCCTGGGTTTGATGTTCTTTTCCCTGCCCAAATTTTGAAGTTATGTTCCATTCCATAATTTGGACCTGTAGGTGAAGTAGGATTTAATTTATTAATTATTGAATAAGTGCTGATGTTTGTATTGCTCAGGCCCACGCATAGTGGAGGGGATCCCTGCAGCTTCATGTGGTGGGCTTCCATCAGTCAGAGGAGCATGTTATATGGAAGAATATTTCAGCTCATATTGAATTGAGCTGTAGTTATTATTTTTGTTTGCAGGATCTCGTACACTAATGTAATGGAATAAAGATATGGTTCTATTTATTCTGCTTATGTGAAGTAGTCTGCTATTCAATTTATTTTTTTCTTCAAGAGTTCTAAGAGAAATAAAAACTCACAACCATTATTGTGCATATAAAGGAAGCTTCATTGGAATATGATTTTTGAGGTTTTAGATCATATGTTTGTTTCCTCATGCTCTAACTGCCCTAAGATTGTGGATTATTTTAGTGTTTTATTGCCAGATGTTTTTATTGGCCTGCTGTTTCACAGTGTTTTGCTTCCTTCCTGACAGCAGATTTAAATTTTGCTCTTCTTTTTCTCTATGTAATACAATTATTAAAATTTGTGCACATCAGAGGAGGCGGAGCTTCAATGTGTTCCTGGTTGCTTTGAATCTGTAGAAGACTACGTCAGAGTATTTGAGTCTTTGCTTTTTGAGGAGTGTCGGGCGCAGCTTTACAGTACTTGGGAGGAGTTGACTGAAACAAGTTCTAGAGACTTGCATGTAATGGTCTGTGTTAAAAGCATCGAAAGACGAGAAAGAGGTATTAAATCTCCGTAATTCATTTGATCTGTCTTCTGCATTGTGAATTGATTGACTTAGGATGCGTGTGTTGATGAAGGATGTAGTTTAGTCGTATCGTTGTACTTTGTTTCAAAGATGTAATATTGTGTCAAAGCATACTTCTGTCAACAGCATGAAAATTTTAGTAGCATAATTTGACATCTACCCATCTCAGCACCTCCCATTGATGAGACCAACAAAATGCAATACCTGTGTTATCACTATTCATTAGTGATTGTCTAGTTGGTTAGGGCATTTGTTTTTCGCTTTCATTTCCTACAGTTAGTCCCATTTGGCTATAAGCCATGTATTTCCTTTAGCTCTGAAAAATTGAAAGTGAAGTACTTTTTTGGTACATAATATTTTTGTTTTCTCAACATGGTTATATTTCTGGTTTTACACAAATTATTGTTTGGATGGAGAACAAGTGCTAGTGATACTTTATTTTCTCTCTTACCTTGTGCCTTATTTTAATTTAGCTCGTATGGTCACAGGATGGTATGATGTGATACTTCTTCCAGCAAATAAGTGCAAATGGACATTCAAGGAGAGCGATGTTGCTGTTCTTTCATCCCCCAGGCCTGGAACAGGTTTGTTTTATGTGCANGTAAACTCTTTAATGCTGAGGCTTTGTCATTGAGGAGCATTTGTTAGTTTTAGAATTTAAGTCAAGTAATCTTTCTTTGCATCGTCTATTATGATTCTCAAAGTGGTATTGTAGTAGGGGAAATGGGGTGTTGTTTTAATGTCGTGTACTTTCCTTTTTGACACTTGCCTTTATCCTGGGTTTGATGTTCTTTTCCCTGCCCAAATTTTGAAGTTATGTTCCATTCCATAATTTGGACCTGTAGGTGAAGTAGGATTTAATTTATTAATTATTGAATAAGTGCTGATGTTTGTATTGCTCAGGCCCACGCATAGTGGAGGGGATCCCTGCAGCTTCATGTGGTGGGCTTCCATCAGTCAGAGGAGCATGTTATATGGAAGAATATTTCAGCTCATATTGAATTGAGCTGTAGTTATTATTTTTGTTTGCAGGATCTCGTACACTAATGTAATGGAATAAAGATATGGTTCTATTTATTCTGCTTATGTGAAGTAGTCTGCTATTCAATTTATTTTTTTCTTCAAGAGTTCTAAGAGAAATAAAAACTCACAACCATTATTGTGCATATAAAGGAAGCTTCATTGGAATATGATTTTTGAGGTTTTAGATCATATGTTTGTTTCCTCATGCTCTAACTGCCCTAAGATTGTGGATTATTTTAGTGTTTTATTGCCAGATGTTTTTATTGGCCTGCTGTTTCACAGTGTTTTGCTTCCTTCCTGACAGCAGATTTAAATTTTGCTCTTCTTTTTCTCTATGTAATACAATTATTAAAATTTGTGCACATCAGAGGAGGCGGAGCTTCAATGTGTTCCTGGTTGCTTTGAATCTGTAGAAGACTACGTCAGAGTATTTGAGTCTTTGCTTTTTGAGGAGTGTCGGGCGCAGCTTTACAGTACTTGGGAGGAGTTGACTGAAACAAGTTCTAGAGACTTGCATGTAATGGTCTGTGTTAAAAGCATCGAAAGACGAGAAAGAGGTATTAAATCTCCGTAATTCATTTGATCTGTCTTCTGCATTGTGAATTGATTGACTTAGGATGCGTGTGTTGATGAAGGATGTAGTTTAGTCGTATCGTTGTACTTTGTTTCAAAGATGTAATATTGTGTCAAAGCATACTTCTGTCAACAGCATGAAAATTTTAGTAGCATAATTTGACATCTACCCATCTCAGCACCTCCCATTGATGAGACCAACAAAATGCAATACCTGTGTTATCACTATTCATTAGTGATTGTCTAGTTGGTTAGGGCATTTGGTTTTCGCTTTCATTTCCTACAGTTAGTCCCATTTGGCTATAAGCCATGTATTTCCTTTAGCTCTGAAAAATTGAAAGGGAAGTACTTTTTTGGTACATAATATTTTTGTTTTCTCAACATGGTTATATTTCTGGTTTTACACAAATTATTGTTTGGATGGAGAACAAGTGCTAGTGATACTTTATTTTCTCTCTTACCTTGTGCCTTATTTTAATTTAGCTCGTATGGTCACAGGATGGTATGATGTGATACTTCTTCCAGCAAATAAGTGCAAATGGACATTCAAGGAGAGCGATGTTGCTGTTCTTTCATCCCCCAGGCCTGGAACAGGTTTGTTTTATGTGCACTAGAATTCTGTTTGTTTGGATGTGCTACAGTATTTTTGAACCTTTTCTAGTTGAATATTCAAAGCTTAACTTATATCTCATCAAGCAGTCAGCTTGAAGCCGGGCAATACCTCGGCAATCCGAGATGAGGACGAGCCTGAGGTCAGTGGATGTGTTGCTGGTACAGTGAGACGTCACACACCTATTGATACGCGTGATCTTCCTGGTGCAACTCTTCATTTCTATGTTGGAGACCCATATGATCTGAGGTTAGTTAAAGTTTGCTAATTTCTTCTTGTGGTTGACTGTTATCTTAAATGTTTTATGTTATGAATTTGTTTGAATATTTTTAACTGTATCATCTCTGGCCAATATTCTGATGAAGGTCCCTCCCTCTTTTCACTACATTAACTTTTCCAGCAAGGTTGATGATGATCATATACTGAGGAAACTACATCCCAGAGGCATCTGGTTCTTAACTGTGCTGGGCTCTCTAGCAACCACCCAAAGGGAATATGTTGCCTTGCATGCATTCCGTTGCCTCAATTCACCGGTGTGATGGCTGTAATTTAGTTTTTGAGCTGATAGTTTGGTATCAATTCATAATGCTTGTTTGAATTACAAATTCGTTGAGCTATTTTCTTTTCTAGATGCAAACTGCTATCCTCCGGCCTAGTCCAGAGTACTTCCCAAAATACGAAGAGCTGCCACCTGCTATGCCTGAATGCTTTACACCTAGCTTTGTTGACTACTTGCACAGGACTTTCAATGGACCCCAACTAGCAGCAATTCAGTGGGCTGCAATGCATACAGCTGCTGGTACGACGAATGGGATGGCAAAGAGGCAAGAACCATGGCCCTTTACCCTAGTTCAAGGGCCTCCTGGGACAGGTAAGACTCACACAGTCTGGGGAATGCTGAATGTCATCCATCTTGTTCAGTATCAGCACTACTACACTGCATTGCTCAAGAAACTTGCACCTAAAAGCTATAAGCAAAATACCGAGAGCAGCTCTTATAGTGTTGCAACTGGATCCATAGATGAAGTGCTCCAGAGCATGGATCAGAATCTCTTTCGCACTCTTCCAAAGCTTTGCCCAAAACCGAGGATGCTTGTTTGTGCTCCTTCAAATGCTGCAACTGATGAGCTGCTTGCACGTGTTCTTGATCGTGGGTTCATTGATGGTGAGATGAAAGTTTATCGCCCTGATGTTGCCCGAGTTGGGGTTGACTCCCAAACACGTGCTGCCCAGGCAGTTTCTGTAGAGCGAAGGACTGAGCAGCTTTTGTTGAAGAGTCGTGATGAAATATATGGATGGATGCACCAGTTAAGAGGTCGTGAAGCTCAATTATCTCAGCAGATGGCTTGCTTGCAAAGAGAACTCAATGTTGCGGCTGCTGCTAGCTGTGCCCAAGGATCTGTTGGTATTGACCCTGACATTCTTGTGGCTCGAGACCAGAATCGCAATAGCTTGCTGCAGAACCTTGCTGCAGTTGTTGAGAACAGGGATAAAGTTCTTGTGGAAATGTCCCGCCTTGTCCTTTTGGAAGGCAGGTTTCGTGCTGGTAGCAACTTCAACATTGAGGAAGCTCGTGCTAATTTGGAGGCAAGTTTTGCCAACGAGGCTGAGATTGTTTTCACTACTGTCTCAAGCAGCGGCCGTAAGTTGTTCTCTCGCCTTACTCATGGTTTTGACATGGTTGTGATTGATGAAGCAGCCCAAGCCAGCGAAGTAGGTGTACTTCCTCCCCTTTCTCTTGGAGCCGCTCGTTGTGTTCTTGTTGGGGATCCCCAGCAGCTTCCTGCAACAGTTATCAGCAAGACAGCTGGGACCTTGTTATACAGTAGAAGCCTCTTTCAGAGGTTTCAGCAAGCAGGCTGCCCAACAATGTTATTTTCTGTGCAGTAAAGAATGCATCCTCAGATCAGGGATTTTCCTTCTAGGTACTTCTACCAAGGACGCCTTACTGATGGTGAAAGTGTTGCTAATTTATGTGACGAGATGTACTACAAGGACCCTTTGCTTAGACCTTACATTTTTTATGATATCACACATGGTCGAGAGTCTCACCAAGGTGGATCTGTCTCTTATCAAAATGTACATGAGGCACAGTTTTGTCTTCGTTTGTATGAGCATCTTCAAAACACTTTGAAATCTTTGGGTGTGGCAAAGGTATCTGTGGGCATTATCACTCTGTACAAACTCCAACTGAAATGCCTTCAGCGGGAGTTTGAGCATGTTTTAAGTTCTGAAGAATGGAAAGATATTTATATCAATACTGTGGATGCTTTCCAAGGCCAGGAACGAGATGTGGTTATAATGTCTTGTGTCCGTGCCTCAAATCATGGAGTGNGACAGGTAAGACTCACACAGTCTGGGGAATGCTGAATGTCATCCATCTTGTTCAGTATCAGCACTACTACACTGCATTGCTCAAGAAACTTGCACCTGAAAGCTATAAGCAAAATACCGAGAGCAGCTCTTATAGTGTTGCAACTGGATCCATAGATGAAGTGCTCCAGAGCATAGATCAGAATCTCTTTCGCACTCTTCCAAAGCTTTGCCCAAAACCGAGGATGCTTATTTGTGATCCTTCAAATGCTGCAACTGATGAGCTGCTTGCACGTGTTCTTGATCGTGGGTTCATTGATGGTGAGATGAAAGTTTATCGCCCTGATGTTGCCCGAGTTGGGGTTGACTCCCAAACACGTGCTGCCCAGGCAGTTTCTGTAGAGCGAAGGACTGAGCAGCTTTTGTTGAAGAGTCGTGATGAAATATATGGATGGATGCACCAGTTAAGAGGTCGTGAAGCTCAATTATCTCAGCAGATGGCTTGCTTGCAAAGAGAACTCAATGTTGCGGCTGCTGCTAGCTGTGCCCAAGGATCTGTTGGTATTGACCCTGACATTCTTGTGGCTCGAGACCAGAATCGCAATAGCTTGCTGCAGAACCTTGCTGCAGTTGTTGAGAACAGGGATAAAGTTCTTGTGGAAATGTCCCGCCTTGTCCTTTTGGAAGGCAGGTTTCGTGCTGGTAGCAACTTCAACATTGAGGAAGCTCGTGCTAATTTGGAGGCAAGTTTTGCCAACGAGGCTGAGATTGTTTTCACTACTGTCTCAAGCAGCGGCCGTAAGTTGTTCTCTCGCCTTACTCATGGTTTTGACATGGTTGTGATTGATGAAGCAGCCCAAGCCAGCGAAGTAGGTGTACTTCCTCCCCTTTCTCTTGGAGCCGCTCGTTGTGTTCTTGTTGGGGATCCCCAGCAGCTTCCTGCAACAGTTATCAGCAAGACAGCTGGGACCTTGTTATACAGTAGAAGCCTCTTTCAGAGGTTTCAGCAAGCAGGCTGCCCAACAATGTTATTTTCTGTGCAGTAAAGAATGCATCCTCAGATCAGGGATTTTCCTTCTAGGTACTTCTACCAAGGACGCCTTACTGATAGTGAAAGTGTTGCTAATTTATGTGACGAGATGTACTACAAGGACCCTTTGCTTAGACCTTACATTTTTTATGATATCACACATGGTCGAGAGTCTCACCAAGGTGGATCTGTCTCTTATCAAAATGTACATGAGGCACAGTTTTGTCTTCGTTTGTATGAGCATCTTCAAAACACTTTGAAATCTTTGGGTGTGGCAAAGGTATCTGTGGGCATTATCACTCTGTACAAACTCCAACTGAAATGCCTTCAGCGGGAGTTTGAGCATGTTTTAAGTTCTGAAGAATGGAAAGATATTTATATCAATACTGTGGATGCTTTCCAAGGCCAGGAACGAGATGTGGTTATAATGTCTTGTGTCCGTGCCTCAAATCATGGAGTGGGCTTTGTTGCAGATATTTGTCGAATGAATGTTGCTGTTAATCGTGCTAGAAGAGAGCTCTTTGGGTAAGGGTTTCTGTACTTAATNTGGGCTTTGTTGCAGATATTTGTCGAATGAATGTTGCTGTTAATCGTGCTAGAAGAGCTCTTTGGGTAAGGGTTTCTGTACTTAAGNATCCATAGATGAAGTGCTCCAGAGCATGGATCAGAATCTCTTTCGCACTCTTCCAAAGCTTTGCCCAAAACCGAGGATGCTTGTTTGTGCTCCTTCAAATGCTGCAACTGATGAGCTGCTTGCACGTGTTCTTGATCGTGGGTTCATTGATGGTGAGATGAAAGTTTATCGCCCTGATGTTGCCCGAGTTGGGGTTGACTCCCAAACACGTGCTGCCCAGGCAGTTTCTGTAGAGCGAAGGACTGAGCAGCTTTTGTTGAAGAGTCGTGATGAAATATATGGATGGATGCACCAGTTAAGAGGTCGTGAAGCTCAATTATCTCAGCAGATGGCTTGCTTGCAAAGAGAACTCAATGTTGCGGCTGCTGCTGGCTGTGCCCAAGGATCTGTTGGTATTGACCCTGACATTCTTGTGGCTCGAGACCAGAATCGCAATAGCTTGCTGCAGAACCTTGCTGCAGTTGTTGAGAACAGGGATAAAGTTCTTGTGGAAATGTCCCGCCTTGTCCTTTTGGAAGGCAGGTTTCGTGCTGGTAGCAACTTCAACATTGAGGAAGCTCGTGCTAATTTGGAGGCAAGTTTTGCCAACGAGGCTGAGATTGTTTTCACTACTGTCTCAAGCAGCGGCCGTAAGTTGTTCTCTCGCCTTACTCATGGTTTTGACATGGTTGTGATTGATGAAGCAGCCCAAGCCAGCGAAGTAGGTGTACTTCCTCCCCTTTCTCTTGGAGCCGCTCGTTGTGTTCTTGTTGGGGATCCCCAGCAGCTTCCTGCAACAGTTATCAGCAAGACAGCTGGGACCTTGTTATACAGTAGAGGACTCTTTCAGAGGTTTCAGCAAGCAGGCTGCCCAACAATGTTATTTTCTGTGCAGTAAAGAATGCANGTTCATTGATGGTGAGATGAAAGTTTATCGCCCTGATGTTGCCCGAGTTGGGGTTGACTCCCAAACACGTGCTGCCCAGGCAGTTTCTGTAGAGCGAAGGACTGAGCAGCTTTTGTTGAAGAGTCGTGATGAAATATATGGATGGATGCACCAGTTAAGAGGTCGTGAAGCTCAATTATCTCAGCAGATGGCTTGCTTGCAAAGAGAACTCAATGTTGCGGCTGCTGCTAGCTGTGCCCAAGGATCTGTTGGTATTGACCCTGACATTCTTGTGGCTCGAGACCAGAATCGCAATAGCTTGCTGCAGAACCTTGCTGCAGTTGTTGAGAACAGGGATAAAGTTCTTGTGGAAATGTCCCGCCTTGTCCTTTTGGAAGGCAGGTTTCGTGCTGGTAGCAACTTCAACATTGAGGAAGCTCGTGCTAATTTGGAGGCAAGTTTTGCCAACGAGGCTGAGATTGTTTTCACTACTGTCTCAAGCAGCGGCCGTAAGTTGTTCTCTCGCCTTACTCATGGTTTTGACATGGTTGTGATTGATGAAGCAGCCCAAGCCAGCGAAGTAGGTGTACTTCCTCCCCTTTCTCTTGGAGCCGCTCGTTGTGTTCTTGTTGGGGATCCCCAGCAGCTTCCTGCAACAGTTATCAGCAAGACAGCTGGGACCTTGTTATACAGTAGAAGCCTCTTTCAGAGGTTTCAGCAAGCAGGCTGCCCAACAATGTTATTTTCTGTGCAGTAAAGAATGCATCCTCAGATCAGGGATTTTCCTTCTAGGTACTTCTACCAAGGACGCCTTACTGATAGTGAAAGTGTTGCTAATTTACGTGACGAGATGTACTACAAGGACCCTTTGCTTAGACCTTACATTTTTTATGATATCACACATGGTCGAGAGTCTCACCGAGGTGGATCTGTCTCTTATCAAAATGTACATGAGGCACAGTTTTGTCTTCGTTTGTATGAGCATCTTCAAAACACTTTGAAATCTTTGGGTGTGGCAAAGGTATCTGTGGGCATTATCACTCCGTACAAACTCCAACTGAAATGCCTTCAGCGGGAGTTTGAGCATGTTTTAAGTTCTGAAGAATGGAAAGATATTTATATCAATACTGTGGATGCTTTCCAAGGCCAGGAACGAGATGTGGTTATAATGTCTTGTGTCCGTGCCTCAAATCATGGAGTGGGCTTTGTTGCAGATATTTGTCGAATGAATGTTGCTGTTAATCGTGCTAGAAGAGCTCTTTGGGTAAGGGTTTCTGTACTTAAGTGTCACTATTTTTAGGGACATGATGATGTCTAAATGCATGTAGATGCTTTTGTGTAGGCTCACTAAGAAAATGCTTGAATATGGTTTTATCTTACTATATGTTAACGTCATGTTCTAACAGGTCATGGGAAATGCCAATTCTCTGGTGCAGTCCAATGATTGGGCTGCATTGATCACTGATGCTAGAGCAAGGAAATGTTATATGGACATGGATTCTCTGCCTAAAGATTTCCTGGTGCCAAAAGCATCTGCTTGTGGTCCATCACCTGCCAATGTGTCGTGGAGATCTGGTCCAAGACATTGATCACATAATGTGCTCATCAGGTCCAGGTCAGGAATACCATCAGAAGATGATTATATGTCAAATACATGGATTTCTAGGAATGGGAAATATCAGCACCTAAATCCACCAAGAGAGAACTATTTGGATGATTTTGATCATTCTGTTGATAAATCCCAAGATGCCTGGCAATATGGCATTCAGAAGCAGGAAAATTCAGCTGGGGTTATCGGGAAGCAGGAATTGTTGTAATTTGGCCGGTGTCCATAAATTCACCATGTGCCTAGGGACCTTCAAAGACTAGTGAATTATGAATTTTTTGATGCTTGCTCCTGACTCCAAAAGTTGAGTTGTTGCTCCTCATGTTGATATTTTGGCAGAACACGATCAAGCTGGACCCGTGCCCTGCTAAGTTCATGTCGTTTACTTGAAGTCAATTGAAACAGTTGGGAAAATGGGGATTCAAGGGATGTGCTTCAGAGGAAGGTTGAAATTGGTTAACAGATGAGCTTTGATTTCTCATGAGGTGCATCCTCCTTTCAAAGTAGTTTGTGGCAAATCAAATCCAAAATCAATGGCAGGCAAGATTCAAAGGTAAGAAATTTCTTTTACTCCATGTGTTGGCATGTTGTCTCCCAATTTGACTTCCATTATCCGAAGATTTCCATGAGTTCAGTGCTGTTTCGGATACCCAAGTCAGGAAGAAAAAAAATTGGCTGTTGAATCTCTCAGCTGCATCTATTTCCTGTAAAGATACTTGCCAAGTTCACACCGTTCTTGGACTTTCATCGATAACTGTACGCACATACAGCTACTGACCCCTGGATCCTGGATTGCTGATCTAAGAGCGCTTTGGTTTTCAGTAGGGATACTGTTAAGAAGGGCAGAGGTATGTATGCCCATTAAATTAAGAGTGCCATGCCCTCATAAAAGTGGTTGTACTCGAGTCAATGTTCTGTACAGAATTTAAGCACAATCATATCGCAGAGGCACTCGTGGTATTGGTGAACATTGTTTTTTTGTACATATTTTTCACCAGCATTGATAAAATTCTTTCTCAGACGTAATTTTTTCTTTTTTTATGGCACGAGACATCTTGCTTAGCCTTGTAGCAAGTATTTCTAATCTTTATTTGTGCATGCATTATCCCCGATTGGATTTTGAGTGAGATGATTTCGAATCTTGTGTGCCATCCTCCTATATTAGGGTTGATCTTATTATTCTACTTCTAGTTGCTTTTTCGTTCCAATTCTTCGTGGCGTTATTGTTCCAGCTCTGATTGATTATACAAGACTACTACTGCAGCAGGAGGTCATGTCGTCTTCTTATTTCTTTCCCACTCATTTCACAAGGTAAGTCCTTATTTCTTCCTGTCTATATTTTTTGTCCTTTTCAAGCGACATATGGAAATCGGGGCCTACCCATTTGTAAAAGTTGATGAAGATGCTTTGATCAGTTCGGCTTGCTTTTAGGAAATGGGCTTCAAATGACACAGGTTTGTCAAATGTATTGTTGTCTGTGAAATGGACTAGTGGTTGGCCAGCGGGCGGAACGAGGAAAGCGTTTTCCTTCCCCTGCCGCATCTCCCTCCCTTTGTCGAGCCAGACATTGTGTGAATGGGGTGTTTTGATTGTTTCACCGAGTGGTGATTCTAAGTTACACATTTTTAAGAGTTTTAAGTTTTTTGGATTGGGGATGTGTGAAATTTAATTAGATTTCACATGAAAAAAATGAGCAGACACTATCCCAAGGTACATACTACTACATGGTAAGCATCAAAACAGAAAAAATTGTCCTTTGGGGACATCCGATAAAACCTAGAGAAACTGGAATGCCTAGCACAGTTGCACCAAAACAATATAAGTTTCTTTAACAGGATTTCAATATAAGTTTCTTTTTTTTGATACTTGAAAAGGAGGGATGATCACTAATGCTCCGTTTATTATGATAAAAAAATAGAAGGATGAAAAGTTGGAGGGATAAATAAAATGTCATATTTGGTAATGAAAAAAAATAGGAAGGATGGAAAAGTAGATGTATTAATTTTTCTTCCAACTCATTAAAATCAATCATTCCAAAATTGGAAGAAAAGTGGATGAAAAGTTAATTATAAAAGTTAATTCCAAAATCGATACGAATTTTATGACATGAATTTGATTATAACTCGACATGAATTTGAAAATGACCTGACATGCAAACAAGAAATATAAAAAANAAAGAGAACTCAATGTTGCGGCTGCTGCTAGCTGTGCCCAAGGATCTGTTGGTATTGACCCTGACATTCTTGTGGCTCGAGACCAGAATCGCAATAGCTTGCTGCAGAACCTTGCTGCAGTTGTTGAGAACAGGGATAAAGTTCTTGTGGAAATGTCCCGCCTTGTCCTTTTGGAAGGCAGGTTTCGTGCTGGTAGCAACTTCAACATTGAGGAAGCTCGTGCTAATTTGGAGGCAAGTTTTGCCAACGAGGCTGAGATTGTTTTCACTACTGTCTCAAGCAGCGGCCGTAAGTTGTTCTCTCGCCTTACTCATGGTTTTGACATGGTTGTGATTGATGAAGCAGCCCAAGCCAGCGAAGTAGGTGTACTTCCTCCCCTTTCTCTTGGAGCCGCTCGTTGTGTTCTTGTTGGGGATCCCCAGCAGCTTCCTGCAACAGTTATCAGCAAGACAGCTGGGACCTTGTTATACAGTAGAAGCCTCTTTCAGAGGTTTCAGCAAGCAGGCTGCCCAACAATGTTATTTTCTGTGCAGTAAAGAATGCATCCTCAGATCAGGGATTTTCCTTCTAGGTACTTCTACCAAGGACGCCTTACTGATGGTGAAAGTGTTGCTAATTTATGTGACGAGATGTACTACAAGGACCCTTTGCTTAGACCTTACATTTTTTATGATATCACACATGGTCGAGAGTCTCACCANCATCCTCAGATCAGGGATTTTCCTTCTAGGTACTTCTACCAAGGACGCCTTACTGATAGTGAAAGTGTTGCTAATTTACGTGACGAGATGTACTACAAGGACCCTTTGCTAAGACCTTACATTTTTTATGATATCACACATGGTCGAGAGTCTCACCGNGTTTCGGATACCCAAGTCAGGAAGAAAAAAAATTGGCTGTTGAATCTCTCAGCTGCACCTATTTCCTGTTAAGATACTTGCCAAGTTCACACCGTTCTTGGACTTTCATCGATAACTGTACGCACATACAGCTACAGCTACTGACCCCTNTGATATCACACATGGTCGAGAGTCTCACCAAGGTGGATCTGTCTCTTATCAAAATGTACATGAGGCACAGTTTTGTCTTCGTTTGTATGAGCATCTTNACAGCTACTGACCCCTGATCCTGGATTGCTGATCTAAGAGCGCTTTGGTTTTCAGTAGGGATACTGTTAAGAAGGGCAGAGGTATGTATGCCCATTAAATTAAGAGTGCCATGCCCTCATAAAAGTGGTTGNTTCAAAACACTTTGAAATCTTTGGGTGTGGCAAAGGTATCTGTGGGCATTATCACTCCGTACAAACTCCAACTGAAATGCCTTCAGCGGGAGTTTGAGCATGTTTTAAGTTCTGAAGAATNTTCAAAACACTTTGAAATCTTTGGGTGTGGCAAAGGTATCTGTGGGCATTATCACTCTGTACAAACTCCAACTGAAATGCCTTCAGCGGGAGTTTGAGCATGTTTTAAGTTCTGAAGAACNTGTACTCGAGTCAATGTTCTGTACAGAATTTAAGCACAATCATATCGCAGAGGCACTAGTGGTATTGGTGAACATTGTTTTTTTGTACATATTTTTCACCAGCATTGATAAAATTCTTTCTCAGACGTAATTTTTTCGNCCCTCATAAAAGTGGTTGTACTCGAGTCAATGTTCTGTACAGAATTTAAGCACAATCATATCGCAGAGGCACTCGTGGTATTGGTGAACATTGTTTTTTTGTACATATTTTTCACCAGCATTGATAAAATTCTTTCTCAGACGTAATTTTTTCTTTTTTTATGGCACGAGACATCTTGCTTAGCCTTGTAGCAAGTATTTCTAATCTTTATTTGTGCATGCATTATCCCCGATTGGATTTTGAGTGAGATGATTTCGAATCTTGTGTGCCATCCTCCTATATTAGGGTTGATCTTATTATTCTACTTCTAGTTGCTTTTTCGTTCCAATTCTTCGTGGCGTTATTGTTCCAGCTCTGATTGATTATACAAGACTACTACTGCAGCAGGAGGTCATGTCGTCTTCTTATTTCTTTCCCACTCATTTCACAAGGTAAGTCCTTATTTCTTCCTGTCTATATTTTTTGTCCTTTTCAAGCGACATATGGAAATCGNCCAAACACCCTTAAACCAAAAAAAAAAAAAGAAGGGGAGGGGGAGAGAGAGAGAGCAAAACAATACCATTAGAAGGGAAGTCCAAAACTCGGTGTATTATTTCAGTCTTTATCATGGGATTTTAATTTCACAATCTATCACAACATTTTTTGTGGAAGAACATAATTAGGCTTGATTAACACATACAAAAGTACACAAACCAGTAGCCACCTCCCCGACCGGCCATTGAGAACTGCACCCATATTTTTTCACAAAAGCTTGAATTTGCATGATTGTTTCTTTAAGACTGGAAGAGGACACCAACAACTATGCAGATTGTAAATGCAGCGACGGTGTGCATCTGCAAAACCATAAAAAGGCGAGGCGATCATATATGAGCTCGGATCAAAAAGCTAAGAAGCAAAAGAGAGAGAGAAATTCAGCCATTACCTGCCTAATAAATCATTGAAACATCTCATCTAACTTTTGCCTATATGAAGCCAAACTCTGCATTAATCAACAAAGAAACAAAATCATGAATCACTTATGCATTGGTGCTTTGAATCGAGCACCAGAAAAGGAAAACAATGCATTGTTGATGATCCCAATAAAGAAACCTTCAAGATCTTGAAAAGACACTAACTGCATTGTTGATGACCCCAATAAAGAAGCATCCATAAAGTCACAATCTACCCGATGATAGCTGAAATTCTATACGGGAAACTGGGAAACCTTTTTAGAATCAGGAGTCATGACATATTCCCAAAAAACACAATGCAACAATGTGTCAACCTATGCCTCCAGATCTAACCATTTTGAATACAGAAGTTGCATGGTTTGTGTTAGTTTGGGACAAGGACGTGGGTACACTACCTAAGAGAAAAGTAATTTAAGAAACCTTTTCTTAATGAAGAACATTCAGTTCTACAGCAGCACATTCACCATCATAGTTAAATTGCAATACTCTTATTTTTCTTTTAGAAAGAATTCCAATCCAGTGAATGAAAAGAAAATAATCAACTATATAAGAACAATCACAGGTTTGCAACATGGGACTTAATGGTGAAACTGAATGTGTTCTCTTACTCAAGATAAAACACCAGGAGGAAATTAGAAGGGTTCGTAGACAAAGGAAATCCAAATAAATGATTTTTTTATTTAGAATCATTCACATACAAGGTGAAATAATGACATCAGGTTGTACACAATCATGACAAAAAATTCTCAATTGAGATATTTCACACGGTGCTAACATCGAACATGGTCTCCANAATTAGAAGGGTTCGTAGACAAAGGAAATCCAAATAAATGATTTTTTTATTTAGAATGATTCACATACAAGGTGAAAAAAATGACATCAGGTTGTACACAATCATGACAAAAACTTCTCAATTGAGATATTTCACACGGTGCTAACATCGAACATGTTCTCCGATGAATATCAGCAAATTCAGACTGGATATGAGTCCGTTTACGTACATAGTGGAGGGGCTTCATGCACGTATGGGAACAAAAAGTTTCTTGTCTTGGAAGAAGACCTTAAGTTTTCATTATCATCAAGGTGCAAATAAAGATAACTTTGGAATTCTGAATGGAAAACCATTGTATTAAACAATTTTGAGGTTTTCTTCCTTTTCATTAAAAAAATTCTTGGCAATACAGAAACGGATCGTTAAAACATTTGTAACCAATCACACAAATTCATTAAGCACTTAAAAGACATTTGATCTGCACAATGTATAAACTATAAAGCAGTTATGTGGAATGATTCAAATGGCAAAGTGGTATACCTTAGTATAAGCATAAACCCCCGCCTCGGTTGGTCCCGGAGGACTTCCTCTCCTGATAAACCTCCCTTCTTTGAATATGTAAAGCATGGGTATCCCAGTTGCTAGTTCTAAGCTAATTACCTAATGAACATATGACAAACTCTCTGTCAGAAACAAATCAAAGTGAAATAAATCAGGCACAAACCCAATAAGAGTGAATTCTCACCTCTTGGGAAGTTAGTTTGTCAAGGTACATAATGATAGACCTCAATGAATTCCCATGGGCAGCAATCATTACATTCTTTCCAGATAGAAGTTGGGGCTCGATCTGCCACATCATTTTTCCAAGGTCAGCGTATAGTGAACAATAGCAAAATTAAACAAAGGAAATACGCAAATCATCTTCCTTACTTGTTCTTTAAAGTAAGCAACAGCTCTTTGAGCACACATTTCCAAACTCTCACCATTCGGTGGAGGTGTGTCAANATTAAACAAAGGAAATACGCAAATCATCTTCCTTACTTGTTCTTTAAAGTAAGCAACTGCTCTTTGAGCACACATTTCCAAACTCTCACCATTCGGTGGAGGTGTGTCATNTGATCAGTTCGGCTTGCTTTTAGGAAATGGGCTTCAAATGACACAGGTTTGTCAAATGTATTGTTGTCTGTGAAATGGACTAGTGGTTGGCCAGCGGGCGGAACGAGGAAAGCGTTTTCCTTCCCCTGCCGCATCTCCCTCCCTTTGTCGAGCCAGACATTGTGTGAATGGGGTGTTTTGATTGTTTCACCGAGTGGTGATTCTAAGTTACACATTTTTAAGAGTTTTAAGTTTTTTGGATTGGGGATGTGTGAAATTTAATTAGATTTCACATGAACAAAATGAGCAGACACTATCCCAAGGTACATACTACCACATGGTAAGCATCAAAACAGAAAAAATTGTCCTTTGGGGACATCCGATAAAACCTAGAGAAACTGGAATGCCTAGCACAGTTGCACCAAAACAATATAAGTTTCTTTAACAGGATTTCAATATAAGTTTCTTTTTTTTGATACTTGAAAAGGAGGGATGATCACTAATGCTCCGTTTATTATGATGAAAAAATAGAAGGATGAAAAGTTGGAGGGATAAATAAAATGTCATATTTGGTAATGAAAAAAAATAAGAAGGATGGAAAAGTAGATGTATTAATTTTTCTTCCAACTCATCAAAATCAATCATTCCAAAATTGGAAGAAAAATGGATGAAAAGTTAATTATAAAAGTTAATTCCAAAATCGATACGAATTTTATGACATGAATTTGATTATAACTTGACATGAATTTGAAAATGACCTGACATGCAAACAAGAAATATAAAAAGCTTATAATTTTATGACTTAACACGAATCTGACACGACACGATTCGATTGTCACCTTTAATCTTAGCCAATACAAAAAAAAATTAGTCATTTTTATTTTCAATCCATCCAACTAAATACAAAAGAAGAAAAATATATCTCCTATTTTCTATCCTTGAGGGATAAAAAATATATCCCTCCTACTTTCCATTCTTCCTACCAAACGGAGCATAAATAATGACCTATGGACCTGACCATTAGAGTCTTTCCATTGTGAAACGTCCAATTTAAGCTAAAACTATTAATCTGGAAGGACAACTTGCACTACAATACCATCAAAACAACGCAACAAATTGTGTTTCTCTCGTGAATCGAACTTTGCTTTATAACCACATGAGAGTCAAAGACGACCCTAAACGAGTGCGACTTACCACTAGGTCACCAGCTAAGGTGCCGATTTCAATATAAGTTTAGTGGTTCACAAACATAAATGGATTTAAGTGAACAACCTAATTGAATCATTGATACCAAAACATTGCCAAACACCCTTAAACCAAAAAAAAAAAAAGAAGGGGAGGGGGAGAGAGAGAGAGCAAAACAATACCATTAGAAGGGAAGTCCAAAACTCGGTGTATTATTTCAGTCTTTATCATGGGATTTTAATTTCACAATCTATCACAACATTTTTTGTGGAAGAACATAATTAGGCTTGATTAACACATACAAAAGTACACAAACCAGTAGCCACCTCCCCGACCGGCCATTGAGAACTGCACCCATATTTTTTCACAAAAGCTTGAATTTGCATGATTGTTTCTTTAAGACTGGAAGAGGACACCAACAACTATGCAGATTGTAAATGCAGCGACGGTGTGCATCTGCAAAACCATAAAAAGGCGAGGCGATCATATATGAGCTCGGATCAAAAAGCTAAGAAGCAAAAGAGAGAGAGAAATTCAGCCATTACCTGCCTAATAAATCATTGAAACATCTCATCTAACTTTTGCCTATATGAAGCCAAACTCTGCATTAATCAACAAAGAAACAAAATCATGAATCACTTATGCATTGGTGCTTTGAATCGAGCACCAGAAAAGGAAAACAATGCATTGTTGATGATCCCAATAAAGAAACCTTCAAGATCTTGAAAAGACACTAACTGCATTGTTGATGACCCCAATAAAGAAGCATCCATAAAGTCACAATCTACCCGATGATAGCTGAAATTCTATACGGGAAACTGGGAAACCTTTTTAGAATCAGGAGTCATGACATATTCCCAAAAAACACAATGCAACAATGTGTCAACCTATGCCTCCAGATCTAACCATTTTGAATACAGAAGTTGCATGGTTTGTGTTAGTTTGGGACAAGGACGTGGGTACACTACCTAAGAGAAAAGTAATTTAAGAAACCTTTTCTTAATGAAGAACATTCAGTTCTACAGCAGCACATTCACCATCATAGTTAAATTGCAATACTCTTATTTTTTTTTTAGAAAGAATTCCAATCCAGTGAATGAAAAGAAAATAATCAACTATATAAGAACAATCACAGGTTTGCAACATGGGACTTAATGGTGAAACTGAATGTGTTCTCTTACTCAAGATAAAACACCAGGAGGAAATTAGAAGGGTTCGTAGACAAAGGAAATCCAAATAAATGATTTTTTTATTTAGAAT